AGATTTTCGTTTCCGTGGCAGCAGTGAAACTAAGCGTCGATGGTAAGGTAATTTACTCACAATTTTCACTATTTTCCCGTAAACAAGGTCGAAAATTAAAATTTCAAGAACGCTAACCTCCGCAGAAGGAAATACTTTCTCTAACAGACAGTTTTTCATTTAATATTGGAGAAGCATCGGGAATTTTAGTGAACATTGTGGAATTATTAGGCACAGTATTATGCCACTCACACAATGATGTCGGCGAGACGACAAGTCTAAAACGAGAATATCGGTCGGAAACCGAAGACACATCGATCGAAACTGCGGTTTCGGTTCATGACTCTATAGTTACACCGCGTGTCCCGTCACTAATTAATTAATAACTCGCTAATTATACGACATAATTCATCCAGAATCGATAGGCTTCTATGATGAATGCACATGCTAAATTAGGAGCAGATTCAACCTCGCCTTCGTGAGATATCGCGTTCATCTAACAGACAAACAGACACACAGACAGATACCTATCAGCATACTTACTGGTCTTAAGATCGATAAGTAATAAACTGGCAGTTCCGCAATACGCTGTCGTTGTAGTTGCTTCAAGTATCAGCTGAGCGCCTACCTTCATAGTCCATAGTCATACTTATAGTAATAGTTTATTGTTATATCTGGAACAAGATGACGCGTAGGCCTCCGATGCTGTTTACGCTGTCGTGTTTCATCGTAACCCAAACGGATAGTAAGTTCCAGCAGATGATTTTGACGAGCGTAATTGATTCTTAAGTTTTGTAGACATTGAAGTGTTGTACGTTTATGATGTTAATTGAAACCAGATTGAAAATACGTCGTTGTAGCATAAATATAAAAGATGTTTAATGAATAAGTGTATACCGGACCATGAGTTGGGTATACAACTGATAAATGGTATACGAAGGGTATACAGCCTAAGTCAGAGATTCTGATATAATAAATTATAAAATATTTAAGCGGAGACAACAATGTAAACGCGGCGCACGTGGAATATAAAATGTCATTAACGCAAAGAACCTACGTGAGCTCATTGTTACATCACATGTGCGGTCACGTGTCTGGGTTGGTGATTTCGGCTGCCATGCATTTCGTTTGATTTACGTTAAACATTATTCCCGTTACGTTAAGGCCGTCAGTCAAATTTATAACTTGCGGACACTAGCCTATTAGATTGCATGATGATATTGTAGTACAATATGTGCTCAAAATTTAATGTTTATTTAAGTCTTACATAAACATTGGTATTTTAAGGTATACAAAGTTCTTGAAAAATTGTAAAAGCTATACCACGATAAAAAGGTTGAAGAACACTGGTTTAATTGGTTGTTGCCGACTTTACGGTTATTAATGCCATTGTCAATACTGTATAAGTAATAAAATTGCGCCACATATCACGCTAGAAAACTGCTCTAAAGGCTCTCTCATTTATTTAAACAACTCAAGAATCAACTGAAAGCCCAAATAATTCTGAAAACAACGTTTTACTATAAAATGACATTTAATAATGAAATATAAAATATGTGGTATTTTAATACTTACATTTTTAATTTACGGCCTATTCAAATAAGTTTAAAATAGCAGTCGTCATTTTTGCAATACTTATACGGCGCTATTAAAACGATGTGTTATGATATAAATATTTACATAATGCTGGCATCTGCTGTGTGTATTTGGGTAAGTATATGTAGCAACGAAAATTTAGAATATTGGGTATTATATTATGGTGTCTTCTTCTGGCTATGATTAAGTTTTTTTTTATTTTTTCTAATTGGTCTCTTCCACAGGGTGCTGGTGGGTGCATCAAGCAATAGTGCTCAAGCGCTTCATCACAATGAATCAGCAGGTAATCTGAACCGAAAATATACGACTGCAAACATCCAAATACTATATCAGTTTACACACCGTGATTTTAATGGTTGTGCCTTGGTGCTTGTACAGAGCAGGGCAGAATATTGGGGAAAGTGTAACAAAATTATCTTTTTCATTTTGAATGGAGATAAAGACAATTTTAGACCGGTGACACATTCTATCTCGTAAGCTATTGTCACAAAATATTGGGAGAAGATTTCCAAATCTAAAAACTTTCGAGTTAGCAAATAGCGAATACTATAGTTAGCAACATGCAAATTGTGGACAAATAATTTTAAAGTAAAGATATGGGCTACATACGTCTCGCAACTAACGACACTTAGCACTCTATTCAATATTGGTATCACAGGAGACACAGGTAAAATGATTGCAGGTTATACTATCGCCCATGCCTGGGAATTAATCGAACCATGTCTGTAATATATTTCACTTTTTACTATTAATAATATTTAATAGTAAAGAATCACAACGAATAATGTGTTATTTTGAGCATATTAATATCGAAGTTCAGATTATTGTTGTGCTATCTGAACTTCATGAGTAAGTTATGCTGTACCGTTTGCGCTATGTACCATAACGAAAAACAAACTACAAAATAAAAACATCCCAATATTGAGATTGAGATAGATTGCGATATTGAGATAGATTGCGATTCGAAATTGAGTGAATGATCAAAGAATTTATTAAAATGAATGTTCAAAAGCATACTTCCAAATTAGTTATAATCAAAAAGCTACAAGATAACATGACAAATTGTATACTTGCCAAAAGAAACTCAGCTCAAAAATTTCACACCTACAATATTCATCTAACGACTTCATCCTATTTTAAATACAATAAATGACAAAAAAAAATTGTGTCGTAACAATGCATATCACGTGACGGCACGACACTGAAACTAATATAAAATGACATTTAAAAAAGAGCAGTTTATAACGTGTCGACATAGTATAAGGACATTATTTACAACTATACAAAAAAGATTCCTCGGTTTTTTATATTTTGGATTGGTCAAATTATTTAAGTTGTTCAATGTTCATCATTTTAGTAATCAAAATCAAATAAATACTTCTAAGAAATTAAATATATTGTTGAGTGTGCAATATATTTGAACATGCAAAAATTAAACTATGTTTTGACAATATTTTACGGTATAAGACACATATTGAATTGTTTCAATTTCTGTATATGAGCGAAGATTTCCATTCTTCCCAGACCTTCTCTTTATGGTTCGGAAATATCTCGTGATCGAATTTTTCACGGGTATCCGACCTTTCGGACTGTTTTAGTAACACTGCCATGCTATTTTTGCCCTTCATAAGTATTGGAAGCATTGCACGCCATGCTGGAAAACGAATCATAATAGAAAATAAAGATGAATATATTAAATATAATTAATTCAACTAATAATTGAAATTCGAATAAACCAATTTTATTTATACTAACAACTTTCTAACGGTTCAATATATGCAAAGAATTACCAATTTGAATCTGTCTCTTACATAAAAAACAAATCATGACATTTTTACCTCTCTCATTTTGAGCTCTATCCATACCGTCAACAACAACCAAATCAAATGTTCCAAACTCTACTGGAATCCAAGTAACCTGATAACAAATTTGTCGAACGATTTGGAAATGTGAAATGACTTTTTTGTTTACCTAACACTTTCCAAGTTCATGTAGTCTATTCATATCATTGCACAGTTATAATAATGAATGGTACGGGCGGATCTATTACTTTACATGCAATTATGACTTTTATTTAGTATACTCAACAATGATATTGTATAATTCACCCAGCATCACTTAGTATGTCCAAACAACTTTGTTGGAAAGCAACATATTCTTAAACATGAGCTTTTTCATTTGCCTATGCTCGATTTTAATTATGTATCACCTGTTTAAATTTAACTCTTTCGGTGTTTGTTCCTTCCGGTAATCTAATGATGGTTTTTTGTTCCACGTTATCTTGGTTTTCATTTTTATTCTCTGAACAGAAAACGTGTTGTTTGTAACCATCGAATGTTGCAAATAAACAAACGAATTGTAGTATTCTGTTCAACTTTGTTTTATGAATTCTGTTTCGCACGATAAACATTATGTCTATTTGTTTTGTTATTTATTTTCAATTACCGAACCTTTAATTTATACAGTCTGGGTACGTTTCGCAGGCTAAAATTTAATCACTTTTATTCAAACTCATTGTCTTATGGAGAATTTTGCTAATAAGTAAATCTTAGTAGATGATATAAATAAGAGTGTGTCTGCATTCAGGGCCGTTGAATGGTAATAACGTGCAAGTTTTGTTATAGTTATTTGGCAGTTTGTATATTTACCATTTTTTTGCAGCGACATTTTCAAATTTCCTTCTTTGCTGAGCTTTATTGCAAAGTCGATGCATCTTCCCGATGGGTCACAGCCAATCACCTGGAGTTAAATTCAAAACATTACCTTCTGTTTTTGTTCGCCCATACAACTAGAATAAATAGTTATCTGAATATGTTTCTTGAAAGAGCGTTCTCGTAAAATCGTAGTAAACAAAGCTATTTATTTTATGAAGTTTTATTTTGGCCATTGGGCATATTTATTTACTCAAAATCAACGTTCTAATGCTTCATCATAGGTCAACGCTGTAGCATGAGAACCAGTGCTGAGTCAATTTATTAAAAGGTAATCATCGCATTGAGGTAAATCGAATTGTTATTTTTCGCGTTAGATGTCACGTTATCAAATGCTCGATTGAATGTTCACTTTGCCGACACCTTTTCCTTGTAATGTTACCTTGGTGTAATCAAATATTATTCTATATTTTCCCTGATTTTGACATACACGCATGTTTGCTAACACACCAGTACGATACCAAGATGGAAATCAGAAACTTAACTAGCACCGTCTCGTTTCATAAATCCATAATCCAACGCGATAGCAATACAAACAATAAAACAATGGTGGGCTACGTAAGATGAAGACAATTTTGAATATTAAAGCATTGAATAGATTTTATTCAGTTCAGATAATACGATTTGAAAGAACAGAATTAGTATTGGCTGTAGTGATGATAAAAGAACTAGAATTTTAATAATATAACATCCACTAACCTCGTGAAATATTTTTGTTAGTTGAAAAGGAATCCTTCCTGGTCCGCAACCAATGACAAGAGCTCTATATGGCGGAGATGAATCACGTAGAAAAGGCGGATCTTTTTGATGAATCGATAAAAGCATGTGGATACTGGAACATGACAGGTATTGCTCCTTTATTAATGAATGAAGGACTTCTTCTGTGTCGTTTCGTATTTGTTTACTGGCGCTTTCAGTTTGAATGGGTTTTATCATTATAGAATCAATGTGAGCTGCATCAAAGTTGCTTTCTGGTAAACAAAAATGAACAGTCCATATCATAATTGCGTTGAACAAACAAACTTATTGGAAAATAATATTATATATGCATATCCCATGTTATATTCATTTTGATTTACTTAAAGTATAAGCCCTAAGACATTAGAAACTTATTATTAAAACAATTATTCGGGTTGCAAGTGTTTTGCAAATGCAGTTTCAAGTATTTTGCGGCGTCTATACCTGCCGCAAAACCATGGCGGGATTTCCAAACCATGGCCGCTATGACTCAACCCACGGCGACTGACTTTTTAGCTGCCACAAACCAATAGCGAGCTGTCGTGGTTACGACAGCAAATCGAATACCACAAATTTTGCTGCCGTAACCACGACATGTCGGCTGTAATAAAAGGGCTGCCATTGATAGTGATAAATATTGGGTAGGATAGAATAGGATTTACCGGTTATCAGTCCAGGTCGGGTAGGGGATTAGTTAGCCAGGTATTTGTTTCGGAAGCATGGACTTGATGGTGGAGGAAGCCGCAACCAACCAGCGGTTACGTGACGGTGAGGAGTCCAGCAATCCTCTCGCACATGATCATTTCCGCTTTGGATTCGAACCTGCGAACCCACGAAGGGTAATCCGAGATGCGGTGGCAATCGTATTCCTAACGCTTAGCACGATGCGCCACACCGCCGAGCCAAGTTGGAAAGTAAGTTGGTAAGTTGGAACGCTTTTCTTATGAATGCAGTTTTAATATATTTGGGGTTAGGTTTAGGTTTAAGTAGATATAATTCCGCATGATAAACTACAATATTGTACATGACCTTGTAAATATACCGGTAATAGCGCGATGAAGACATGGCAAGAGACGCCGCGGTACGTTCGTGGCAGGAGTTCGTGGTTCGTGCCATGAAGTGGTAGGAATTGCGCCTCGAGTTTTGTACGTTCGATGAGAATTGCTCTTTAAGAGGACTTTGTCAATTTCTCAATAGATATTTATGTGATACAGTAATTTCTGCGTTAACAACAATTAGAAAGTGTTTCGTGTAGTGAGCATATGTGCTTTCTACTTGATAATACAGTTTTGTTTCCGTTTTACGTATATCAATAAAATGCACGTGATCATATGTTTAAAAACAAGCTGTTTTTAAGGTAAAATATCACTCCTTATTCAAAAGTAATGTCATTATTAAAAAATCTCTGTGTAGAAACAGTATTCCGAAAGACGCGAAGACGAGCTGGTAAATTCGTAACAAAGTCTTTAATCCAGATGCATGAATTTAGTTTATACAGGAGGCAGTGATGATTTGTTTCGTGTACCCTACTACTCGGGCAAAATGTTCTGACACACGATTCACGTTTACAAACATGTACGCATGTTTTATCAAATTGATTTCAACGTAAGCAAATCACGACGTGATATTTTAAGATATCCGAGAGGTCGAGTTTCACGAGCCAAGTTTGACTCAAAATTATGAGCAAATTAAGGAAAATTCCAAATTTGGCCATTCAATCTCGTCCTCGCATTAATTGTCGATGAAATATATTATTGACAATATTCACAACTGACAGTAACACGACGTCATGCAGCATCCTATTCACATCCTATCGTTTTCCTGCGTCCATAAACGACTTTCCTGCTTGAGCTTCTTTCAACCGTTCGATCACACACGAGCCAATTAAATTCATTTAATTATGAAAATTTGAAATACGTGCACGGTAAACGGCTTTCCTGTTTATGCATCTGCTAAGCGTTTAATCAGGCACGCACGTAATCAAACTGTTTCAATCCAAAAATATTTCAAAAACCGGTTCGTACACATCAAATACTGTTAAATAATCTCCTACAATTCACCACATGTATCAATTTTCTTGATGGAAACTTTCCGCTCCTCTTGTGAAAATTGTTTCACCCACATTTTTGATTAAAACCTTGCATTTAAGTATTTACCTTCTACACCCATTCCAGATAAGTAAGTCGGAGTTTTAACAAACACTGCCGGGGAAGGCGAACTTTTTGATTTTGTTCTTGCAAGTCGAAAACCTAAATTCTGAAAAAAGTGTCGTCTAAAATGAAATCTTGCATATCTTGAAGCTTCATCTCCCGTAGACGCCCAGCTACCTCCCTGTATTAAATAGAATTATAAAACAATTGTTTAATTCCAGTAAGGCTAATTTTCAGAAAATTTCTCTTTGATCTACATTAAAAAAATGAAATTGGGATGTTGGTGCGATAAATAAAATATAAAATAACTATATAGAATAAATTTATTTCAAAATAGCACACAGCATTATCTATTGTATGCAATACTATAACTTAATCTAAGTTCAATTGAAATTATTTACCATTATTACTGTATGTTTGCCATCATAGCACGGAGTAGAGAAATCATCGTATAAATAATCAGTTTTTCCACCAGGCATCCCATTGAAATCATCCTCCGTCCATTCCCATATATTGCCAAAAATGTCGCAAAATCCAGCCTCTGATGGAGGATAATAGTCAACTGGCTAAACAAAAATTTGAACATTGTATAAGATTACTGTCACAATTTGGTTTGTGTCTAAAAAATGGATGTCAAAAATACAGTTTTGATGATTCATGAATCTAGGAAATGAACTACTGATACTTTGTTTGTAGAATTCAAATTGGCTGGCGTTCATCAAGTATAAATATTTTGTTCTATAAATACAGTTCCATGCATAGACCAAAAATTAATTGAAAATACTACATTTCCAAATTTAAAGTGCGGTGAAATATAATCTTCCTTATTGCATTTGAAACAAAGTAGTTTTAAATTGCCATATACTTGGTTGTGGGTTCCAGTCGTGTATTAAACATAAAACACGCCCAGTTTTTATTTGCGAAAAAAAAGTAAGGCTTATTTTTGTTACAAATTCTGACTAAACATTTTAATTAAAAGTGCTGTAATTATTTCTTTGGCAAATAAACATATATTAATTTTCTGACCAATGATATTATTTAGGATATGGTTTTGAAACTTCTCATTTTGAACAAGTTTGTTTAGAAATATTAAGCTTGCTTATATGGATAAAGAGTACTGCAGCTTGATTTTTGCAGAATTTCATGTTTTGTTTGTAAAAATGTGTATAGCATGACCGCTGACAAAATGCATTGCTTTTATTTCGTTGCTGGTGAATATGAAGACTGGCCAGGGATTGCAATATCGTGTGGAACGCTCACTAATTATATAGGTAAACGACACTTTTAATAAATCGTAATTTTATCCGTACATCATTATAGACCAAAACCAATTTATCAGTTATTCATCATCTTATGCTCAGTATTATGATTTTAGTGTTGATTGCGATTCCAGATCACTTATTTTTATTCATTTGTTTCTGAAAAATTCACGGGGTTCTTTGGTTCATTCGTGATTCAAGCTTTGCGAGTCTCGATGCTTGGTTGAGTCTGAACAAAGTGCTTAACAGTTCTCATGAAGACTACCTTCTGTCGTCGCATGAAACCAAATACGCGCTTCAAAGTATGGGCTTGTTGACCAGATGTAATTGTGTGTTTTTGGTCGCAAGACTTGCTGTTAGGTATTTTGCGTTTTTAAGTCGTCGCAAGATTTGCTGTTAGGTATTTAGCGTTTTTAGGTCGTCATTTTTGGGCATATTTAGGCTTTCAATAAATGCTTCTGGTTTGTGTTCGAAGATTTTTTATTTCAAGCTTAAAATATTATGACTGCTCTATAGCACAGCTTGGGTGTAATTATGTGTCTGTGTGTTTATTCATTTGATTAAATGCTAATCAAGCTAAATTCGCAGTAAAAGAAAGAATAAATTAATTTTATCGTTCTGCATTGTGAATATACGCAGCTCAATTTAGAACCTGTTAGCTAGTGTTTTATTTTTAAACCTCACATGGTTGCAAATCTTATATCTGAAGTTTACTTATATGTAGAACGATAGTTGTAAATTAGCCAGGTTTCTGTATTATATAACTCGGGACAATTACGATAGTTAGCCAGGTTGCTGTATTATATAACTCGAGACAATTACGATAGTTAGCCAGGTTTCTGTATTATATAACTCGAGACAATTATTTATATTCGAACTACTAAATACAATGATCTGCAATGTACAAATGATGTTTCATTCCCTCCTGTACATAATTTTTAAAGTTGTTGAAATCATGTGGTCTTTTTGATAAACTCAAAACATATTTTACCAAACTGTGAAATATAAATGATAATAATAGGAAAAGTTAAATCGAGTCTTTAATATTGAGACAAGCTGTTAAGTATAAAATACAGTATGAGGATAACGACCTCAATTTATGATATTGTTGTTTGCAAATTTGCATCATTTTATTATGTAACCTATCGCAAGCACTCTGAAATATACTGAGGTCTTTCTTATATTTCATTTTAGACAGCCACTAAAATAATAGTTTGAAATTTGACATTTGAAAATTAATTTGACGTCCAAGTCAGAGTCATATTTAACCGTTGCTTACCGTAGAAGAACCATATGAAAACCCCACATTTTTTGCCAGAGGTTTGACATTGCTCATGGTTTCATATTCGGAATTGAAAGGCGGCAAAGAGCGCATAACATGATGTTCTGCTTCAGTGGGCAATCTAAAGTCTTCTCCTTTCCATGCGCAGAATGCCTTGGCTTCGTAATAATTTACCTCAACGGGCCAATCTAACGGAAGATCCACTACGTCAAACATCAAACGTAATCTGTTAAAATAAAATTGGAAAGTGAGTCTATTCAGTTATCGGTCTCATAGCACGATTGAGCGCAAAACAAGAAAAATAAACAAGGCTAAACATGTTTTGCTTTGATTGTCATTTTTGACCAATGAGGAGTGAGTCCATCCAAGCGTCAGCTATACAAATTGGGGTTTTTATTTTGAGAATTGGTTATATCCTAATTTACTTTTCTCATTTTACTAACTCAAAGCAAAGTTGTTGAGACATCAGTCGGGTATTTTGCTTGTTTCACATGATCTAATAAAATGATATATATCAATGATGTCGATAGTAGGCGAAAAGGATGATTCTCATTTTCTTTTCAAATAATAATTATTTTTCTCACCCAAAACTCTCTTTCTCTGTTTTCATGTTGCAATGCGAATACGACGATAAAGTTGACCCGCATCCGGATTTACAAGATTTCGAACATACCCAAAAAGTAGGATGCCTGAAAATAATGTAAATTGGTGTGGCATAATCAAAAGCAATGAAACATAAAAGATAACCATTCCGTGCATAATAAATTGAATATTTGGCGAATATTTAATTCTGTAATATTATTAACTCTGGCCTGCATTTTTTTTGATGATTAAGTGAACTTACCATATTATGTTGTTATCTAGGAGTCACTATTTAAAATTAAAATCCATTATGTTTTACTCTCACTAATCATACACAAATGGCGATTAATTTCGCACAGAGCATCTATTTTCTCATATTATTCTGATGTATCTCGTATAACAACAATTTATAAGCAAGACTTTTCATACCTGGTCTGTCGAAAAGTTTTCCACTTCCAACCGCATTTACTCCAAAGGGTTTGATCGTCGTAACCACCTGCTTCCACAAATTTCAGAAACTGTCCATTTGTCACGGGATATTTCGATGCTTCAAATTTTGGAACACTGAAATACACAAATTTTTTCTTTGATTCAGTTCATAAAAAAGGAAAAAAAAATATAAAATGTTAATATTGAGATGGTTGTGTGGTGTCACTGGTGTGCATAACGCAATATGATTCTGGCAATTGTTTTAATTCTACGACAAGGTACTGATGGGGATGGGAAGTTTTCAAAAAATGTTTAATGTGACGCAACCATACAAATATTTTTGCATTCATCACAGCAACAATATTTATATTACATATTGGTACGATGGTAACTTGAGGAAGATATCTCAAAATAGACTAATAATTAACAGTATATACAGTGGTCATCGGATCCAGCTATTTTTCAATCTCCACCAAATTCTGAAATTTTTAAAAGATGGCAACTGACTACTGCTACCTTAAGTTCATATAGAAAAGACTTGGTAAAAACTAAAAGTTGTGAATATGTATAATGCCAAATGTTAGTGTCGTAACTGCAATAAAAACACAACATCTAGGGTATTTCAGGCCTTACTTGACCCCGTGGTGTCACAACAGGAAGTATTTGTTGAAGTTATCAGTAACGCAGAAATCATTGAAGACAAAGCACAAGGAGTTGTTAAAATATAACCATTTAACAATAAGATTAAAACTGTAGAGCACATGTACGATCGTACGTAATTTTACTTAGAATTAATTATATCATTCAAACATCAAATTGAATGGAATGATTTCTTTTCAACTTGTACGACTTACTCCATTATTCGTTTTCCATATTCGTTGTCCCAACCATATATTGCTGATGTAAATTCTTTTCCGATTGCAATAGTTTTGTTTCCAGCACCACACATAGGATTTTCCAAAATAGGAGATTCTAAGTAAGTAAAAATTATGGGATCATTTTGACATATTCAAAACATTAACGAAATGACAAGTTTTAGTATATTATATGTACTACCAAATATAGCAAATGTGAAAATGCTAGTACATCAATAATCACTGAATTTTGTAAATGTACTTACCAGATTTCAATGGACCATAAATCCAACCGTTTGGTTTCTGTACCATATGAACAGGAAGTTGGCGAATAAGCACGGATGATGTTTCTAAATGAATTCTCTCGTGTTCGATTCCCATCATTATTACCCAGAATGGATTATCGTGGTCAATGGGATGCTGTAAAGGAGTCTCTTCGATCACTCTTGTAACAATATCTCTAACCTGATTTGAAAAAAAAATGAATTTAAAAAAATATATTGATTCAACTTTATTCGATGGTGAGATATCCTCGTCACGGGGTGTGGAAACAAATTATCATAATTTGCTGCCAAAGTTGTTATTGCTCAGACTGTGCTCAAGGTTGTTTTGTGATGAGATTTGATTGGATTTGCAAAAGATTCCAAATTCTGTCCGTGAGCATTAGTTTAGGCAAACATTCATGAATATATTGGCGAAAGATAACATTCAAATTCCAAAAAAAAATTACAGAATTACAGTATCATGATACGAACTGTCTTTCGATACTGCCTCGCTTCTTCAACAGAGGGCCATTGATACGATCCTCCCATTCTGAAATTTTCTGTGTCATCCCATGTCATTTCGTCGACACCAGTTTCAAAAATGGTTTCAAAATATCTGTTTACACGCTCCTGAAATATGAAATATTCGTTTATGGTTGCGTCGTTTCTGAAAAGAATGCTAAAATTTTGATTTAAGTGAATTATTTAGTCATGTAAATTATTTATGCAGTGAAATAATGTAGTAGTTTAATCATCTAAAATAGACTAATCGCTATATGGCACGGCATAGTATAATGAGACAATTTTGTCAAGATGAAATATTGATTAGAGAAATGAACGAAACATGTTATCCATCATATATATATTAACATTCACCTTAATCACTCCAGCTGACAAGAGTTTATTCACGAAAACAACTGCTGGATGTGCGTAATAAAATATCAATGGAAGGCGAAGACGGTCAGGAACATGATAAAACACTTCTTCATCTAAAGATAAAGATTGTCTCGTGTCTCAAAAAGCATATAAGTAGTTGCAAAGCGTGAACTGCATTCATGACGTTTTTAGCAGTTTGAGAAAATAAATCGACTTTTTCATTTACAAGGCGGTACTGTTTGAATCATTTACACATTAAGGCCCCTATAGAGACAAGGTAAAGTCTTCTAAATTCAGAAACAAAATCGATCGTAAATGTAAATACAAGTTAAGTTTTTATCTAGATCATTCAACGCATTTAACACTTCAAATCAAAAATTTGTTTTTATACCTCAACACCCGATAGGCGGAAATTCTAAGGATATTCTAATTATGATCTCGGTTCATAATTGATCTATGACACGTTACATTGACGGTTTAATTCATCATATGCGTTTAATTAGAGCAGCCATTAGACTGGCCATTAGTCATTAGGGTAGAATAATTCCATGGTTAATCCTCGGCAAACTATTTACACATGTGTGTTGCCAATAGTTTTGCTAGAATTAATTTTGTTGATATTGTATTAAAACCTATGTTTAATATTTATTCAACCTTTCAACGACGTGAAGAGCCACTCGTCCAGTCCATATGCATTTTCAAAATTTTCTTGAATATCGCTGGAAAATGAAAGAATATGTTTACACCAATATTAAACCGTGAAAGGTTTACTCGCCTAATTTCATCTTATATGATGATTTGCGATATTCGACATAAATTTTGTATTGACGTGTATACTATACCTAACTACGTTGTATTTGTTCTATTTACATGGACTTTCAGCGTTCTAAGATTTATTTTTGAATATTTACTAATGTTTCACTCAACTGACTGACTGTAAATTAAAAATAAGTTTGTTGCAATATTATTGCAGATATATTGGAATAGACTATTGAACCAAACCAACTTACCTTTTAGTACAATTATGAAGGTTGCATGGCCCTAAATCTCTTTTTGCAATTGGTCCCGTGGTAACCTCTGGCTTCATAATCAAGTTTATAGCTAACGTTATCACTCAGTTAACAATTATACGCATTCAATTTTGACTGAAACCCGGTTAATTGAAGGTCTCAACACCCAAAATACGGTCGATCTTAATAAAAAATAATGTTTGTTAAATTTAATAAGTAGAGCCTTTCAAAACTTTCTCATTCTTGGTTTATTTACGACTTCTGGCATTTTTGGCACATTATAGATAACTCGACTTGACTTCAATTTGTCTTTATCTCGGCAAAATAATATTCACTATAACATAATGAAAGCAAGTTCTCAGATAAAAAGATTGTTCCAATGTTACCATATCATTAAAATTGATTGTATTGAGTGCTGATTATAACTCTCCCACTCCCGTGTAGTTTTCCCTCATCCACTCAAATAGCTATACCACTACAGGTGTTTGTACAACATTTGCTTTATATTTGTATGGCACTTTAAAATAATTGCTGCCAAAGTTAACGAATTTTATTATATTACTGCGGCATATATCTGGAAATGAAAATACCGAATCTCCAGTTGCTTTACGCCTCTACTTCCGTTTCCTATTTAAACATATTTACAGTCGTTGGCAACCGACACCATTCGATCACTTATGATTGATAACGCCAAAGATTCTAACATTAATATGAATTGGCTAAAAGTACGATCATTATGAGTTAATGGACCTTCGTCCAATTCCACGCTAGCAGCAATCTATGTCTTCAACTTTACGCACCAGTAATTCACCAGGAGTTTCAAGTTGTATGTGAAACATGTAAACAATGAAGAAATTGCGAATGATTTTGGTTTGAAAGATGAAAATCACTAGAATCAGAACGCAGTTTTACTGGGAAAATGAAGCTGAGGTGATGCAAAGGTACTTATCCAACAGCGACACCAAAAACGACTTATGCCACCGAAGGATGTCATATCTTTATGTTATGTGACACATGCAAGTAATTGCTCCCAATGAACCACAATTTTCTTATACCAATTTTGTTGTTACTCTGCATCCCATAACGCTTCAGATATATCAATAGTAAGAACGGAGCATATCCGCCAATCCATTACGGGTTCTGAAGTCGCCCTACAACGTGACACTTTTAATTTTCCGGTTCCGATTCAAACCGTTGAATTTGGAGTCGTTTGGTCACCCATTAGTTATAACGTTAAATATTGACAAAAATTAGCTTTCAACATGCGTACATATTGAATATGCTGCTCGAAATGGGAAACCTATCAGTTTTGCAGGATAAAAATATATATGGTTAATAATAACAGTAATAAGAAGTAATTCACTTGATCTATAGCTGAATTCAAATCTTAATTACAAATCTAATCTCATAGCTCCCCTAATCCACGAATTGATCATTACTCAAATAGTTGGGACTTTCGTCCAATTCCACAACATAGTTTTATATTTTGTGCTTTGAATTTTTTCAATGGTGGTCTTTCTCTTCTCTCATAACACTGAATTATAATTAGGATGAGATATCGATTTATTCACGAATTTGTTGAATACTTTGCAACAAACATACAATTTCATACATACAAATATAGAATAAACTGAACTTTAAGCCTAATACCCTTAAAACGAGAAGCGATCAATTACAATTAAAAATTTCAAAATATGCTGTCTGCGTTTGGCACACAATTTGCATACATTTCATTCAAGCTCATCTCTCAGTAACAAAGATTGATTGATCTTCTGCCGTGTATAAAAATAAAATGGTAAGCGTCAAATATTATCTGATTGATTTTTAAAGACCAATTTTTCAACGGCGATTGATATGCAAGGTAATTTGCACAGAAGCTTGGTGTGTCGGTTCACGAAATATTGAAACCTCATGGTAGTTTATTTAAAATTCATAATAGGATATGGAGAAAGGCTTGGAAGTAACTTGCGGTACACTAAAAAAAATCTATCAAGCGTGTCCATGTAATCACTGGCATTTTTGCAATTCTTTTTTCACATCGCAACTACGACACCCAACGGTGATCTGCCTAATCTAAACCATGAAGAAGAATGCGATATCATAGGTAGGTTCCAAATGCCTTTGACAAATTTAAAAATGAATTTGAGCAGAACATTTTCTCGTAGAAACACTAAGTTATATATACTAAGTTATGTAATCGTTTATGTAACAGCCTCAATCGAAAATTGATCTTATGCAAGCATCTACCATGAAAGTGATTATGCGACGTCAACGCGGACCTCCAATACGCCACACTCGACTGGGCGTAAAAAACAGGAAATTTTGAGTGGAATGGCTAACTTTGCGTTTTTGGAACCCGTTAATTTTTCGCAGGAATATAAATATTGTTATGACTAAAAATAAAAGAAAGATGTAAAAATATGTAAAGGTACCTTGCGTAAATTCCTAGAAAAAAAGAATGCCAATTTATCATGACTCGACAGAAATACAATGAAAGCCTTCATATCTCCAACAGACTAACAGTTAATCCATTCACTATTGTTCGCAAGTGACACATATCGGAAAAGAAAAGAAATTGGCGAACCTTATTTATTAATTCAATAATGGTCCACTTCGTAGTGCCGGTAATGTGTCTTATATAATTGTTGCGCTATTGTCGTTCTCCCTATAACCGAAAAGCGCAAATTCAACTGAATAGTGATGTCATTTTTTGAGCGTGCAAATGAAAGGATCTAACATTGGTATAACGATCACCATTTCTAAGCCACAATAAAAATCATTTAATATATTTAAATTTTGCGAACCATGTTACAAATTTGTCATTCGTAACATAACAATGTCATAAGATAAATTATTTGTCCAAACACACCTATATTATGATAATGGTAAAAGCTTTAAAATATCACCCAAGTTGATTGCAGCAGATCTTTGCACAGATGCCAAGGCCAAGGGTAAGATAGGAAAAGAAGTTCTTAGGTCCTATCAGCAACGAATAGCAATGAAAAGATTCCATAAGTTAAGATTTCCTCAAGTTATTTCGACATAAAAAACGTAGGAACTGTACCATACTTGCTAAAAATATGCTAAAAATAATTCCCTTTTATTCTAGTTATTTATACTGTATTTTACGTATAAAATTTAGCCAGTATTCTCAAGTATTCAGCTTTAGAATCATGAGGCAAGGTTATATCAGCTGGTACTTTTTACCGGCAGGTTACTATCTAAAATTAGCATACGGTTCGATATTTACTGCAAATACCTAATCTACTAGAAATATAATCTGCAATCCGTGGAAAACATGACAACTGAAAACCTGGAAATAATTGATTATCGATCAATGCTGAATAAATAAAGCTGATAGATATATCGAGTAAATCAAACAGCTGAGAAACACTTGTTAATCTGTGTAAAAATTTATTACTATATACATTTATATTTGCGTTTGTACGTGAATCATTCAATTTATTGCATATTATACTTTACTCATCTCCACTATTACACATTTTTATGAAAATTTTTTTCTACTGGTCACTCATTGCTACAACTTTTTGTCGATTCCGTTTTATCAGTGATCGGCGGCATATGGTTGGAAGATAACGATTTCTCCCGACATAGTCCAAACAATACGATCTGATATTATTTCGCACGGTTATTGTAACCACAGGATTTCTGGGCGCTAGGGCAAATGGCGTATTCTTTTATCACGAAAGAAAAATTGAACGCTAATAACGTAGAATATAGAATTTTGAAGAATGAATAAAAGTACCATTCTATAGAACTATGACTAAAGAAGCTGACATCGGAATCCATTGATTAAAGTTTGTGCGCCATCTTGGTACAAATACTTCGGGAGCGCCTTCGGCAGTACACCCACCTGCTCATCAGTAACAGCTATGATGGTTCTATATGATCTTAGACTTATCACGATAATAAAGGCAACTTTAGTCCATAAAACTGAATATTATGATATAATGAGGAATAGAACATCGCTTCCGTGTGTTGCCCAACCTGACTGATGCTAACTGTGACTCAGTGCATTCTATAAAAAGGATCGCTGACAATTTCAAGATAAAGTACTCACGAGTGAGAGCACCGCAAAAAACTTACTAGAGAAAAACTCTTAAGATAAGACGATCGACAATACGCTCAAAATTATTTATCTTGCGTTGTTAGAGACAAACCAAGCTTAGTTTAATTTAACTCTCACTGGCCCTTTCTTGGCTGCGTTTTATTAGAGAAAAACCTTGATCAAATGATTACTCTCGCCATTGAGAAAAAACCTTCGAGCATAAACGATAGTTCTCGTCGGAAAGCGCTCGGCATTGGACTGTTAGATTTCATTAGAGTCACGCTGACTCATCAAGTTATTGAAACCAGAAACGCGATCTTATATTCGCAAGCACTCTCGCGATCAACGCGCGTATGTGATTCAATTCATAGATTACGTAACGTGTGGTCGAGTTGATAGGTCTCAAATTTGCAAATAAAATACGTTATACATCACTAGAACGATATCTGCAAGAATTGATGGGCGAAACAAAAATTCATGGTACTCCCCGTAGTGTGTGTACCAGATTAGGGTTGGGCCATAATTTTATTTTATTTCCTTATTTTAGTTCCATTACAAATTCGGGGACTGTTTGTGTTAGCCGAGTGTGCATAGGTTTCAGTCCCTTCACACAACTTGATGTGAAATAGGCTAACAAAATTAGTTACCTCCATATTGGTACACACACTTCCAGAACGCTAAAATTCCTATTTATATACTAAAAACGCAGAATTTAAACTGATTGTTTACAATTGTTTATTTTGAATTATTCTGACTATTAACCACACAACAGGCAATATGTCGCAGTCGATCTTTTCGTTCTTTAACGCAACGTTTCCCAACCTTTTTTGGTCGCGGAGTATTTTCTCAACGGCGAAAACCTTCGCGGACTGTAATCTGTGTGAAAAAGTAATAAAACCAAGTACAACAGAATTTCAAAATCGGAAATTTGCCGCAATTACGCGTTCGTTAGAAGAGCCTTTTCTGTAGCACAAGATTCAATCCATGACAAAAAACGTTATAACAAAATATCTACCCAGACTTTTCTATGTATTTAGTTTGATATCGCTTCGATTTTTCTCTGCCTTACCCGTAAAAGTTCTGATCTTGCAAATCAAATTCCCACTAAAATAAAGCACTTGGAACAACATTGCAAGAGTGGTTGATTTATATACATATATCTAGATGTTTCTTGGTATACGTCATACAAGGAACGTCGGAAAACGTCATATTACGAACAAAACGAAAGCACGAATAGCGAGCGCATCGTATTGAAACACTTACGTTATGTCTAATACTTTATATTTTAGAATGTAAGTAAGAATGTAAGTATTAAGAAAAATTAATTTTATAATAACGACAGACCAACGGAGAGACATACTTCAGACTGGGCCATTACCTAAACTGCTTTATACAGTTGAATTTTCTATCACTAGTGCATGTTGCTGGGCATCGCATTCCTGTACAGAAATACGTACAACCAAATACATAAGTATGTTTTGGTTGCGCTTGAGTTCGTCTTCAGCCACGAGTAATTGACTAGCAATCCGTGGAACCAACCACAATATAGCGTCTCTTGTTTGTGCACTCTGTTGGTTATATCGTTCCTGTCAGCAATGTCCACTCTGTCTGCAATCTCCGCTACATCGGCTTTTGGGTAATGTCGACTCTCTTAGCCATTATCTACATTGCTGTGTCGGAATTATCCAGTTTGTCGACTCGGTTAGCAATGTCGACTACGCAGAAATTGGTACGTCATTAAGTGTATAAAATAAAAATGTTCGACATTGCTGACAGGAAGTACATAGCTGACAAATTTGACATTGTACAAATCAGAGACGCTGACACAATATATTCGCTTTACAATTCACACAAAGCTCCATAAAGTGGCTCGTCTGGCGGAAAGTTATAAACTCCTTGGTGCTTCTCGTTCTTGTCATTATCAACTTCTATCGCCATGCCTGTATATCTTGAGTCCGTGGAAGGATAACCTTCGTACCATATGGAAGAGACTATAATCTTTTCTCCGGAACGTTGCAATACCTCTCCTCGCTGCGTAAAACAAAGTATTAAATTAATAATTACCACGATTAGCATAATCTAATCGTAAAAATCGAGTTTTGGCACCGACGAGTGCCTTACGAACTCTTTGAGATATACGTTGCCCTTTCAAATAGCACTAACTTTCTGCGTATTAGCGAGTGCTGAGGTCGAGCATCATTAGGATCTTGACTGAAATAGTTATAAAACGGCATAAAGACTAGTCCACATTTGTTGATTAGTTAAGTACTTCAAGGTGTTACAAAACTCATTTGAAGTTGAATAGAATATCAATGACTTAACAGTCAATTAAACATCAATGACAGAAAACAATAAAGATCAGTTTGAAGATCAGGTATTTTATTTGCCAATTTATTACTAGATTGTGAAAATTTGAGTCATAATACCGAATAAAGGTAGTAAGTAAAATGTGATGTGGTTTTAACGTGTCGTGTAGTTTACTTTTTTCATCTCTCTCTACTTAATTTTTTATTCTTTTATTATATCTACCTTGAAGGTCATCCCGGTCCAAAGATATATTTTCCGCAGAGGAGCCATTGTTGAAGACAAGTATTGTTTTATCATTTTATAGTGATCATCATCGTATATGTTTGCCACAGTCCAACCAATTTCATCGCATAGTAGTTTTGCCTCTTCATACACGACATCAGAAGTTGAATGCAGTACATATTTGAAACATCTACCGCCGTATTTAACATCGCAATCTGATTAAAAGCGTAATTATTTAAGTAATCTTTTACTTAATTTATATTTTTTATAGGGTATAAAAATTTATATTCTATGACATGTCATATCAGGTTAAACTTATTCTCAACATACCCACCGTATAATGGGTCGCCCTATTCTTAAGAGAGAGGACTTCAACAATACCTAATAAATTTTCCATATTCATTGAATGCTGATTAGTTTTTTATATTTTTTACAAAACTTTCATATTTTTAAGACATTGAACTTAAGGACATACTAAAAATATTGTAACAGATATTTGGATTAAAACTTGATAATAAATATTGGAAATGAAACTTACTTTTTCTTGCAATATTGAGTTTAATTTCGTTGGCAATATCTATGAAATAGAATAAAATGTTTGTTGCATTTAAAATTACCAAATTAAGCCATTGTTTTTTTAGAATATATATTCATACAGAACTAAAACAAATTAAAAAAATAAATAGTTCTGAAAATATATAATGTGTAATCGTTTACTATGATACTACAACAGCATATCACGAATTACTGACCAATTTTTTTGAACAATACTGTATATTAAATTTAACTTACCCAATCCATTATGGAACTAAGCATAAAAAAATGAAAATGAATCGAGATCTGTGGTGCAATAATTCATTTTGAGAATCTCATAGTGGCAGTCTGTTTTGAATAACACATAGAAATGAAATTAATCATTATTTTAATTAAAAAAAGCCTTGATTCAGCAATAAAATTCAATTTTTGCAACAGATACTGCTGAAAACATGATATTATTAGTTTCAATGAACAACACTAGGTATATAATTAATATCGCTATTTTTGATGTATTTCATAGTATGCTTTTCATACTCGATATATCATATAATGGACGCTGAAATTAACAAAGTATGGCCATATCAATCAGTTTTCATATATTTAAGAAAGGAGGCTGGAAATTGTAAACTTTAGAATATTGGACTTTTTATACTTACTTCACAATCACCTTGAGATAATAATTTTCCATCTTTGTACTTGCGAATACAGACTCCGCCTAAGAAATTACATTTGATTAGACAATTCACACAAACATGATCTTGTATACTAATTGATAAAAAGGTGAAGGAATTCGTAGTCCACTTACCAAAATTTCTTATCGAAAATGAAACAATCATGAAAAAACAATATTTTAACAGATTTTAGTTAAATTACTGTGAAATGGCATTGATTTCTCTACAGGTTTACTACAATGCAAATTACCTTTTATTTGTGCGCAAACACTTCTATTCATCGCAGTTGCCATCACAAATGCTATTATTACAAAGGCGATTCTAATCCAAACACCAAAACGCATCATGACGTATATTTTTTTTGCCTGAAAAAGTAAATTATTCGAACAATCTTTATTCTAATGTTGATATGACAAACCGCTTGGCAAGAAATTTTCAGCGACCAAAAATCTCTGCTTAACTTTTGTTCTCTATCACACTCGCCTCAACCAAATGTTGTGAAGTACGCGTTCAACTGTAACAAATATTACATTTCTCTTTCCAAACAAAATTACTAGCATTTCATAGTCATTTAGTCGTGTCGCACTTCAATAATGCGTTCATCACCTAACTTCAGTTCCAACGACAAGCCCTAACCTAAATCGAATGTAACAATTATCAGAATTATAACACGGCGTAGCTTAAAATAACAGCCGTAGATGTGGGGTAACGTACAAACACTTTGGCAATATTACTCACCCATTCCAATGAATTTAACCACAAGAAATTCGAAGCGTTAATCTGATTTGCTTTCAGTAATTCGGCTGTACATGTTTTATTCATAACATTTCCTGAAAACGAATAGCATACCAACAAAACCTTGCAACAAATTAAATACCGGTTTTGTCATATTTGAAGGAATTTACTTTACATTTCTTGCGTTTATACTCAACAATCACATTAACTTTCCATTTGAAGTTTATTAATTTATACAGACCTTGTTTTTGCAAGTGATGTGAAATGCCAAGTTTCGTCTGACGTATATTATACGCCGATAGAAGTTTCAAAGTCTTTATCAACTGGCATGCTTTTGAAACGTTGCACAATGACATAGTTATAATGGGTTTGATTGAACTTGAACCAATCTTTCTGTAGGATTTATTTCAATTTTGAATAAGTTAATATATTACCAATAAACATTCTCGGAAATGAAAAGTCATCATGACATTGAATATAGACGTTCAATATAGACTACAAGTCAAATATTTGAACAGGACTGGTGTGGATTTATTTAATGAACTTATCTCGGCTCTTCCTTCAAATATGTATGATAGGAGCCCGATATTTATCTTACCCAAGATAGTGACATTAATATAAAGATACATTAGTGAACTATCGCGTGGTGACTGTTTCAAAATTGTTATGTTACTTTTGTCCCACACTGTCCCACGTAAGACACGGACATTTCAAGTCACCGTGATGAAGTTTGAGCCCTGCATTCTGGACCCAGAATCTTGCACCCAGGACCCAGAATTTTAACAAGAGGCATCAATTGATTTTGTTACTTTTATTATCGTAACATTCTCCTCGCCAATTTAAAGTTTGGTAGAATGGGACTATATTTTTGATAAATATGAGAATATACTGTTTAATACAATATTCGACCATTTTTGCTTTAATTTATATCTGAACGATTGTGAAAGATGAGTTGAATCAAAAAATTCTATAATTATCAACTCCATACCGAATATACCACCAAAGCACTTTGTTTCAAATTTCGTATGATATTGCATCATATTATATAATATATATATATTTGAATATATTATACACGTTAAATATATTATTTATATTTATATTTAAAAAGGACCTAGGAATTGAAATATGGTGTATCACAATATGCTGGACCGTGTATCAAGCACGGTAAGTATCAACTTTATTCAACGATATAAAACGAGTATGGAAGCGTTCAAGTTCGACATAATCAAAACATCAGGCGTGTCCATTAAGCGTATTTTTCTGTCCCATCTCATCGGGGCACGGGCCCCACCGAGGAAACTACTCGAAGAGGTTCCCAGTAATCGAACAAATGCTTTCCCGTCCCGAAAACGAGGCTAAACTGCCTTTAAACCACAAAATCATTCGAGCGTGACTTGATTGATGGCTTGATTGACAGATACTGCCTCCAAATTACGAAAAACTCCTTTCTTCGATTCGATCGCACTGATGGGTTGGTTATGTAGACTGTGTACACCATCCCAGTCTCACATGGCAAGTTTCGTCCCAATCAGTCCATCAGGAAATCATGTCAATTTAATTTTGTTGCATACAAACGTTATTTTATATAACCAATTCGTCTTTTTGTGTTCCACTTGTCCCTATTGCCCAATGTGTCCCATGGGAAATACAAATGTGTGTTGTCCTATCGCAGGAGAATCCCATACCCATTTGAATCTGCAAAACAGGCTTGTAATAGAGACAAGAGATCAACGCTCAAATATATGGACACGTGGACTAGAGCGAAGCAGGGTTTACCTTTGACGTTACCGGTACCGTACCCTCAAAAAGTTCCGGGTTTTCAGTCGCAAGAATTTTCACAGTCAGCCGTCACGCTTGGCGGATTGAAACCGTGTTCCCATAATTAAAAATTAATACAGCGCAATTTTGGATGAAATATTAGATCTCATAAGCTTCATAGAAAATTCAGGAATAAAGGAAAGTAATAGCCTTCTGGCAAAAAAATCAATCTTGAACCACTGAAAATTCCAAAGCAATTGGTCCAGTATTCGAAGAGAAAAGCGATTTTTTAATGATAATGACGAAAGAAAATAACAATAACAACAAAATTTTGAAACGATCGTTATGGCCACTAAACGTGTCCAATAAGATATGGCATATCTCAATTAGAGATGTTTCGATACCAATGAAAATCCGCCGATCCCAGTTTGCTGATATTTGAACCTGTACCTATCACCAATATCACAATAATATGGCGTAGCGATTACATAAGGATAGTTACTGTATGTTTCAATATTCTTCACCACGTTTTTTAATAATACATGTTATTAGCCTGAAACAAGGTCGTTGCTCTAATTCATTTCCCGATATGATTTTATTCCTTGCTCAAGTATTCGTTCTTTGTTAGTTAGAAATTTGGTTTCATCACATATACTTGCGTTAAAGTTTTAAGTGTATTTCGTTGTACGTTATTTTGATCAATTACAATAAACGAACATTTGGCATTCAATACATGTGTGCTTTGCCTTTTTGACCTCTGAAGGAGTTCAGATCGGGGTTGCACTCCATAGCGTGTGTTAATTCAAAACCACGGGAGTCGAACACGCAAAAACGGGCAATCTTCCCTATACTGCAACTAACATCATACACGTATACGTTTTTCGTGAGTGGACGGAGGGGATGGTATGACATATTTGTCTGCGAACAGTATTTACAGTTAACAATATTTCAACTAAAGAACAGAAGAACTCCAAAACACTAGAATGGCAAACTTCAATCCATATTTGTGATTCAAATGCATAAACAGGTTGTGAAAAAACTCACTTACAAACGGTTTATTAAAATACCCAAACCAAGGTACATCGTAAAATGCATTTTAACATCGTGCGACGTGCGTATGCTCAGCAATTCCATTACTAATAGCAAATAATAGCAGACGTTTCGTTTTGCACACATTGTAAGCTTGATAGATCTTTCCAGATGATTCAGGAGAAATCCAGGTACTTGTACGTAACAGACGGTTCCATTACATTTGAACCCACGTACATTTGAACCCATGACAATTGCACCTGTATGCTATTGCACCTATGGAATTTTTTTTGTTCCACGGATAGTTAAACCCATACTAACCCTAACCCATGGGTTTTAGCACTCACATATAGATTGAACCCGTGGATATACGCATGGGTTCAAATGTACATGGGTTCAAATGTACGGTCACCGTAACAGACACATGCGTGACATCACAAGGAATAGAGGTAACGAAAATAATCGTGAAACACGCGACGGGCATTCTAGCAAGGCGGTAAAATGTATGTCTAGGCACGATTTAAAAACATAATGTTACAGGTGCGCGAGCAGGAGATTTTACTGCGCAAATGGTCTGGTGCTACTGCGCAGGGGCGCAGTTGCAAACCTTGGAGGGAACCTTGCTCCAAAGAATTCTAGATGAGATTAAAGACCTGAATATATCGGTTCATTGTTAGCCGATCGCTATACTATGACCGATATTTCATTTGTGCTCCACATGCTTGCCATGCTGATAGACAAATGTGCTGTTGATGCGTCACCAACATCCCACTAGGATTAAACTATCATAGCTTTGGCCGTCTGAAGGCAGAAAACGATTGTCCTGCTGAGCATCTTTGTGGGACTTGCGTTGTAATAAAATAATAATGTACGTTGTATGTATCAATGCACAATATACGTTGCAACTAGAACACGAGGTGGACATCTCTAATATTTTTCAAATTTTCCTTTTCAATATTCCAGTCATATTCTGAAATATTGTTCTAACTTTTTCAGACAGGGGAAGAACTAGATGACGGAAGAATTCTGCAAATCAACAGGTTTTGAAAAAATTTACGATTTTTCATATTAATATATTTCTGGTGATGTCGAACGATCTTCTCTGTCGATTTGCGTAGTCTCAGTGCAGGTTCAGTTGATAGCCGCTATTTTGGCAATCGTGCTCCAAACTTACTTCGTATTGCTCGCTGTTGTGGCCGCATATGGATGGAAAAAAACGACACAAAGGGAGGGGCTGTCGAAGTGATGATGATAAAAGTGAGCAAAATTGAACATACCCAAGGACATCTCATAAGAGAAATCGCCTAGCATTACTGTATGGGTAACAAAATAAGTGTTCACTGGTTTATGGACCTGTCAGTGTGTTGTTTGGGATCGGATGTTCAGATTTTGTCTACATCAGTGATTCCCGAAGTGGGCGATATCGCTCCTAGGGTGAGCGAAAACGATACAGAGGGGGGCGAAGATCCAAAGGGGGCGATTTCGCGAAACCTGTTTTTGTTCGGCGGCTGGCAGTTTTGACGAAGAATTAATTTTAGATCTTCGCTCGAGGAGTAGATTATATTTTTTACGTAACAGAATTTATCGTGAGACACGTTTAGTTAGATTAAATTATATATTATAACCTAACAATTTGGTGAACAGCTACTCGTTTAATGATCCTACAATTTAATTATAATTAGACAAATGGCAACACGCAGTAAAGTTGATGCTGAGTGCAGGGTTTCAATAGCACAGAAAATATTCAAATGGTGCTCCTTGAGATGCAATGCAACGAGGAAATAAAATTCATATTCAATTTTTATATAAATGTATATTCTTAAAGAAAATCTTTATAAAAATTTGACAAACCATGCGAAAAAATTCACTTCGATGTTTGGAAGTACATATGTTTGCGAACAATTATTTTCGAAAATGAACACTGCAAAGAACTAGAATTAGTGATGCCCATTTAGAAAATGTTCCAATCCTGGCTTCATTCAATGTGGCGTCAAAAAGCTGTCAATCGTGATGCAGCAACAAGACAGTGTCACATTAAATGTCATTTGTA